TCATCTACTGCCCCGCCGCCCGTGAGCTCACGCTGCAGATCAACCACGCCTTCATGGACGGTCGCGGCACGCTGCTCTTCTGGGACGCCTTTTTCGACGCTCTCGCCAACCCGCAGGGACGTCATCCTTTCAGCCCGAGGCGCTGCTGCCCAACCTGCCCCCGTCTCTTGACGCCCTGATCGGTATCCCCGAGACGGCATCGGACGAGGCCAAGGCTGCCGTGCCCGAGGTTCTGGCTCGTGCCTCGACCGCAAACCCCCATCAAGACGCCGGTTGCCTATTTGACGAAACCCCCCGCTTGGCTTTGGGCGTCGCGAACTGCGCCTCAGCAAAGCCGAGAGCAGCGCCGTCTTCGCGGCGTGCAAGGCGAGAAATTTCACCGTCACGGCGGCGCTGCAGATTGCGGCGGGCATCGCCGTGCAGGAGGTGCAGCGGGAGATTGAGGGCACGGCGGGAGACACCTGGGCCGGGCTCGCCAACTTTGACTGCCGCCGGTATTTCCCCGACGCGTTCGCTACCGCCAGGGGCATGTCGGCCTGCTACTTCGTCGTCATGCCGTACACTGTTGCTCTGAGCGAGGAAACGTTCGACGTGGCAGCGAAGGAGCTGTCGGATCGGTATAGGGGCGGGATCAAGCACCCAGACGCCGAGAACGTGCTGGAGGCACTGCCAGCATCGACTGACGTCTTTGTCGAGGCGGCGCTCGCGGGTGTGAGCTCGGGCAACGCGCCATGGTACACGGCGTTGGGCATCGTGGATGACTACATCAAAGTGCGGCATGGTGATTGGGAGGTGGAGGACTTCAAGATCGCAAATACTCTGCAGGGCCCAATGGTGCAGTTCCTCATGTGGACGTTCAGGGGCGAGCTGGTGTTACACGGCGCGTACAATGAAGCATACTACGAGCCTGCGTATGTCGACGACCTGCTGGCGAGGAGCCTCGCTGCCCTGCGACGAGCGCTTGGGGTCGCCGATGGCGAGACCAGCTCATCCGGTGATGGCCCCGACCAGGGTGCCAACGTGTTGTCATCATAAGGTGTGCTGTCAAGATGCACGACAGGAATAACAAGACAAAAGTCAAAGCACCCATAGCCGCGATCCCTTTGTGGGGTTACTTTTCTGCTGTCAGATTGACTCTCATCGTGCATGTGACGTGACTTTGTCGCAACAGGGTGCTGAACTGATGAGCTCTTGCAAATCGGCAAAAAGTGAAAATGAAGTTCTCTTTCGAGATGCGTCAGGAGTTGAGCCCAACGGGGGGCTCGAACCCCCAACCTTGAGATTAAGAGTCTCACGCTCTACCGATTGAGCTAGCCGGGCAGGCAGGTTGCTTGATGTTGAAAACAAGTTCCGGCTCGCAGCTCATGACTGATGCAATGGATTCGTGGGTCGAGACAGACTTTTCGTAAGGCGTGGCTGCGGTGTTTTTTCGCCTTGTCGGTGTTGGGTTCCCACTTTGGTTCGGGGTTGATGGGGCCGAGTCATGGTTGTGCTGGTTTGGTGAATGGGGGCCTCCTGGTAGCACGAGAATCGGCTTCGTGCCCGCTCTTTTCCACTTGGGATCAGGGGAGGCCACTGCGGACGAGTAGGCTTGGTTGGCTGTTGAACATGAGCGACACGAGCTGAGGTCAAGGCGCGGCATTTGCCAGCGACGGAGCATTAAATCCAAAGGAGACCCGAGGCACCACGCGCCAACTTGCCCTGGACGTTTGCCGAGGCTGGCCAACATCTCCTCCCAGCAGGCACCACGTCTCGTACGACGACCACGGGATGGTCACGACGCACTCCGTCACTGGCGTGGCAAACCGCTGAACGACCTCGTCCAAGGCCGGCTGCAGCTTCTCCCGCATGGCCTGCGCGCCCTCCCTCGGGCTGTCAAAGGGGACACGGCCCTCGTCGTCGCGCTTGGCGTAGAGGCCCATGAAGTCGCCTTCCAGGGAGATGTGTAGGTACTTTAGTGCAGGACACACGGGGCCGCGCAGGGATGACGGCGGCAGGTAGGAGCGGCTGAAGTTGCTCTGCGCCATGTTGGACAGGGCGGCATCGTCGGCGGCGTTCTCGTGGCCTTCCTTGAAGTACCAGCGGAACCTGAGCGATGTGATCTGGGCGAGGCGCTGGGCGGGCAGGAAGGCATCGGGCCGCTGTATGAGCAGGTTGGAGGAGATGTGGATGATGTTGGTGCTGTAGAGAACATGCACGCCTTCGACGTATCTGTCCCTCGTCAGCCATCGCTGCTCAGCCAGAGCCGTGTTCACTCAAAAGAGTAAGGAAAAATAATGAGACAAAAAAATAACCAAAAAAAATAAGGGCCTACGTACGCCTGCCGACAGGACAGCAGCCAGCCCATGACGCCCACGAAGCACCGACCGGGCCACTCCCCGGGCCAGGCTTCACAGTCCGTCCGGCCCGTGAGACACCCATCCGTAGACAGATCCACAACGTCGGCCAGCGACGGGTCAAAGGACCCGATATCAGCGGCCCGCGCGTGACAGACGCAGCCAAACCATCGCCAGGCCTTCGGGCTGCTCCTGTCGACGGTGATGCGACGGAAGCCCTGGCCGGAATGGAAGTACATGTGATCGCAGAATATGTGAGCGTGGGGTCGTTCCTTCTCGGGCGTCGTCAAGGGCGCCGGCGCAAAGGGGCGGCGAAAGGCGAGGTCGATGTGGAGGGTCTGGCGGCCAAAGGCGTAGAGGAAGATTTGACGGCGCAGCTCAAAGGGAAGGGTGAAGAACGGGGAGGGCTGGGCTGTCAAGGCCGGGGCGCTCTCTGCCGCTCCCGGGGCAGACGACGGCGTCAAGGGACGGCGGATCGCTGATGGCGGCAGGATGGGCGGGATGGATTCATCTTGGCGGGTTGAGGATGGGCGGATGGGGATGGGCGTGAGCTCGTTGGCGTCACTGCGACGCCGGCGTTCGCGTCTGTCGTGGGACCACGAATGGAGGCGATGCAGCAGGGACATGGATATGATGATGAACTGCTGGACGAGAGAGATGCTCGAACTTTCTGGGTCGATGTTGTCTGTCAGCAGACGGTGGAAGAGAGGGGATGGACGACGACGGAGTAGTAGCGTCGTGTCATGTTGAGGCAGGTGCAGAAGGCGGGGTACTTTGACGTCTCCTGATGGGGACATGAAGGAGGCACCCGTTCCTGGGAGGCGATTTGTGCTCAATCACGGGCTTGATCATTTTATTCCGAGATTGATTCCAAAATGGTCAATAAATACGCCTGACATGCTGATGCACCCCATGGCGTGACAAGATCTCCGTACGATTGCCCGTGTGTCGAGAGGCTTGGCAATCCGCAGAGCCATCGTGAGACGTACATGTTCGTGGTTCACATGTCGCTTGAGCTCTCTACGTCCAAAGCGGCAAGACATCCAACGGTCTACATCCAAAGGGAGAAAAAAAAGTAGATTCTAGCTACCTGGTTGAACAAGTAAATCATGGCTGTGTGCCTCGCTATGCTGCCGTCTACCCAGTCTACCGTACCGTCCCAGCCCCAAGCACCAAACCGTACCAATACATCTAAAGGAGCGTCCTGGTGGCGTGAGAACCCATGGTCCCGGAACCCTTCTTTCACTGGCCATAGCCCTGT